CATTTAAAAAAAACCGCATCATCTTGGATATTAAAGATTAAAGTAGCGACAACTGATTTTTTTTCCCCCTCCCTGCTTCTCCTTCGTGGAGCATCGCTCTGACAATTTCTCAGAATCGCACCCACCCGTTTAGAAATTATTGCGCGTTTTTTCCTCCTCATCCAAAGGCCACGATTGGTGGCTGCTTTCCGACTTCTGGAGGGGGGGGGGAACCTAAAGCGGTGCAAAGCTATGGGTGGCCCTGGACAATTTTTTTTTTGCTTCTCTCGCGTTTATGACTGAGCGGGAAATTCTTTTCTCATCTTCCTTCCTTCCTTCCTTCCTTCCTTCCTTCCTTCCTTCCTTCCTTCCTTCCTTCCTTCCTTCCTTCCTTCCTTCTTCCTTCCTTCCTTCCTTCCTTTTCCTTCCTTCCTTCCTTCCTTCCTTCCTTCTTCCTTCCTTCCTTCCTTCCTTTTCCTTCCTTCCTTCCTTCCTTCCTTCCTTCCTTCCTTCCTTCCTTCCTTCCTTCCTTCCTTCCTTCCTTCCTTCCTAAGTTCTTCAAACAAAACAAAGCCATATATTTTTTTTCCTTAATCGATTTGGGATTAATCCGGCCACGTTATTTTAGCTTCCATCCCGGTTTAATTAATGAAAAAACAATCGCCATCTCGCGCAGAGTCAAAGTTAGGTAGTTACCCCTTATTAACCCCAGGGACCTCGGAATGTGAAAAACGAGGCTGGATTTCGCAATACCGCCTAAAGAAGGGGACAGCATCCGATTCGCCGCGTTTGTTGCCCACTCGGGAATCCCCAGAACGGATTTCCCCTTTTAGGAATTCGAAGTGACTTAAAGACCAAACAAACCCACGGGTGGAAGTCATTTAAAACGGGTGGGGTGGGGGGTCGGGGTGTGAAAGAGAGGAAGGAAAAGAATCGCTAATTCTAAAATAGCCAGGATCTTTGGATACATTGGCGGGTCCCCAACCAAATCCACGAAAACACTTTCTCTTCTCCTTTCAAGTCTGTGTTTTCCACCCATTCTCCGGGGGAGAAAACAAACAAACAACACACCCAACACCAAAGAATTAGAGCCATCCATTTCTTCAATCAAAAAGAAAAGAAAAGAAATTCCTGATGCGACAGCAAAGGGACCCCTCAAGCTTGACAGGAAATAATAAGCACGATAATAAATGTAAACAAGGAACCCAAATCAGCAACTAGGATTTCCGCCTCGGGTTGACTTCCCTCCGCGCGCCCGTCGGCAATTTCGCGAACGACAATAATAACCAGAATAATAACAATAATAATAATAATCTGCAAAGACCTCGTGGTTTCGTCTACAATACTTGTGTGTGTGTGTGTGTAGGTGTGTGTAGGTGTGTGTGTGTGTTTGTGCGCGTGTGTTTAGGTGTGTTTCTGCTGCAATTCGCCCACGCTTTCCGAAGAGATCCGACTCAAGAGATGAACTCTGACTTCACCCAACTTTCCCGCCGTTCACCCTCCAAACCCCCCCCTTTTTTTTCCTTTTCCAAATCTGCAAAAGGCAAGGAAAAAGAGGCGACCGGGGTCCCCCCCCCACTCGCCATTCTCGCCGCAGCGTCTCGCTTGGCTTCGCGGCCGGCCCTTCGCGGTAGGTCCCTGGTTCCCCCAGCGATTTCCCCCCCCCGCAAAAAAAGAGTCTTTAAGTCCAAAGGAGAAGTCCGTTGGCTTCCTAAACTTCAGCTGCTCCCCCTCCGAGCAGCCCTCGCCCCTCGGTCCCCCCTTCCCCGCCCCAAAAGTCTCCGCCTTCCCCCTCCCCAGGCTGCCAAGGTCTCACGGGGGGGGGGCTGTGCGCGGGTCCTTTCTTGGGGGGGGGGGTTCAAGGTCAGTTTGTATGGGTGGATTTTGAGAGAAAGCCGGCTCGGGAGGGGGGGATTGTTTGTGTGCGTGTGTGGGTGCGTGTGTGTGTGTGTGTGTCTGTCTCTGGCTTCCTCTCTCTCTCTCTTGTTCCACTCCAAAGTTTCGGGGTTTTTTGTTGTTTTTTTCCGTCCGTCTCGGGGCATCCCCCCAAGTTGCCCCGCGCGTAAAAGCCAAGTTGCCCCGGCTAGTAGGTGGCGGAGAACTTCATGCGTTTCTGCTTCTGTCTCTGGTTGCAAAACCAAACCCTCACCACGTTCTTTTTGAGGTCCAATTTCTCGGCGATGGCGGCGATCTTCTCCGAGGAGGGGCGCGGCTGGACGGCGAAGTAAGCCTCGAGGGAGCGCTTCTCCGGCGCCGCGATGGAAGTCCGCTTGCGCTTCTTCTCGCCGCCGTTGAAAAGCTCGGGCTTGTTCATTTTCTCGCGCTGGGCGCCCTCGGCCTCCTCCAGCCAGGCCTGCAGGATGGGCTTGAGCGCGATCATGTTGTTGTGCGAGAGCGTGAGCGACTCGAAGCGGCAGATGGTGCTCTGGCTCAGCGACCCCACGCCGGGGATCTTGAGGTTGGCCAGGGCCGAGCCCACGTCGGCCTGCGTCACGCCCAGCTTGATCCGCCGCTGCTTGAAGCGCTCCGCGAAGGCCTCCAGCTCGCGGGGGTCCGTGTCCGAGTCGCAGATGGAAGCCAGGCCGGCGGCGCCTGCGGCGGCGGCCGCGGCCGCGGCGGCGGCGGCGGCCTGGCCGGCTGCGCCCCCGTGGTGGGCCGCCGCCACCAGCCCCGGGTGCGGGAGGCCCGAAGGCATGTTCATGGCCGCGGCGGCCGCCGGATGCGCCAGGTGGCCCAAGCCGTGCATGTGCGAGTGCGGGTGGGCGGACGTGGAGATCAGCCCACCGCCGCCGCCTCCTCCTCCTCCGCCGCCGCCGCCGCCGCCTGCGCCCCCGCCGGCCGCCCCCTCGTGCGCCCCGCCGCCGGTCATGAGCGTCAGCGAAGGCGAGGTGATGTGCTCTAGCAAGTCTCCCGGTTCCAGCGCCTGGTGGTGGTGGTGGTGGTGGTGATGGTGGTGGCCCAAGGGCACCGTGGAGGTGGAGGTGCAGGGCACGCTGTTCATGGTGTGGTAGGTGGCGTCCGGCTTGAATGGGTGGCTTTTGCCCTGCGAGACGGCGATGTCCACGGCGGCTAGAGCCTCTGCCCGCGCCAGCAACGTCTCGTCCAGGGTGGCAAAGAGATTGCCCTGCAGCTGCAACCGACAAAGAAAGAAAGAAAGAAAGAAAGAAAGAAAGAAAGAAAGAAAGAAAGAAAGAAAGAAAGAAAGAAAGAAAGAAAGAAAGAAAGAAGGAAGGAAGGAAGGAAGGAAGGAAGGAAGGAAAGAAAGAAAGAAAGGGGGCAGCGAGGGAGGAAAAAAAGGGGCCACGGTGGAGAAGAGAAGGGCGCCCCCGAGTAGGAAGGAAAGGAGGAAGGGAGCCGCCGTTACGCGTTAACGAAAAAGATAGGGGAAAGGGGGTCGGTGCGGGACGGCGTGGAGAAAAAATTAAAGGAAAACGTGGTTTTGCCATGTAGGAGAAAAGAACGGATGGGGGGGGGGTGCGGTAAAGAAAGGCGGAAGGGGGAGAGGAGGTGCAGGAGAGGAAGGGATGGAGCGGAGGCACCGCCGGGGGAGATGAGATGAGCGGCAGAAAATTATACCGCCGCGGGAAAATGAATGGGAAAGGGTCCAGCGGAGAGCGCGCGGATGCAGTGAAGAGAGAAAGGAGCGGGGCGTAGGGTTTGGGGACCATGGGGGCCGGAGGCGGCGGGCAAAGGAGCGGCGGGATGGGAAGAACGGAAAGTGGGATCGGGAGGCAGAAAAGAGAGAGAGAGAGAGAGAGAAGAGAAGAGAAGAGAAGAGAAGAGAAGAGAAGAGAAGAGAAGAGAAGAGAGAGAGAAAGAGAGAGAGAGAGAAGAGAAGAGAAGAGAAGAGAGAGAGAGAGAGAGAGAAGAGAGAGAGAGAGAGAAGAGAGAGAGAGAGAAGAGAAGAGAGAGAAGAGAAGAGAAGAGAAGAGAAGAGAAGAGAAGAGAAGAGAAGAGAAGAGAAGAGAAGAGAGAAACGGGCAAGTTGGTTAAGCCAGAGAAAAGCCAAGAAGTTTTTTGTTTTTTTTCACCGCGGGGGGGAAATCGAGGAAGCCCGCCTTGAGCCGAGCGAGCCAGAAAAGGAGAGCAAAGAAAGGGCGAAAGCGAAAGTAGCCAGGGGGGAGACCGCCTGCGCCGCTTTCAGCTGGGTTGGCAGCCTCGGCCTTACTTGCCCGGTGAATTTCGAAGGAGAACCGGGAAAAGCAGGGGAGAATTTAGGGAGCAAAAAAGCCCCCCCCGGGGGGATCCCCCTTTCCCACTTAAACCTCCAGAAGGGCGTGAGAGGCACCCACTGGGCGGCAGTGGCCGGGAGCGACCGAGGACGCCGGGCGCGGGGGAGGCGAGAGACTAGGAGCCGGGCAGCCCCGGGGATGGGCATCCGGCTGGTCGCGTGCGTCTTACCGGCGGAGTTGGGAGGCATGCCCTCCGGATGGCTTCCGAGCTGGAGTGCAGCGAAGGGTACTTGTGCTCCGGCAGAGTCGGGTGCATGGCGAAGTGGGGCTGCTTGCTGTTCATGGACATCATCGTGGCGGCTCGGCGGGTGGAGAGCAAGAGGGAAACGGCGACCAGGAGGAGATCCACGCCGAGCGCCACCAGCGCGCCGGGCGAAAGGGCTCTCTGCGCGCCGAGCACAGCCAGGCTGCCGCCCCCGCCGCCGCAGCAGCAGCAACACATCCGAGGCTACTGGGGCTGGCAGCTCCCCGGGAGCGCGCGGGGCGAGCCTTCCTGCCGCAACCCGGGCCGCTCGCCTCTTCTGCCTGCTCTACCCCCGGGCTGGCAGGAGATGCGCTCTGCTTCCACCTGAGCCCCACATCCCGGGGCTCCCGACCGGTTCTCCCTCTCGCGAGAACTTGCGCCTCCAGTTTTGATGGACTGGCTTGGTCTCTCCCCTCCTCCTCCTCCTCCTCCTCCTTCCTGCGCTCTGCCTCCTTTGCCCCCCCCTCCTCCTCCTCCTTCTCCTCCCCGCCCCCTGAGTTGCATAGCCGAGCTCACGTCGAAGCAGGAGTCTGCAGAGAGGACAAAAGGCCAAGGCAACTGCTGTCGACCTGGGGTTCCCAAGCGAGGGCCCCTGGCACGCTGGCACGGGGCGAACCCGGCGGCTCGGTGCCCCGCGCGGGTCTGGCGCGCAGGACACCCGGGCAGCGCCAGCTGAGTCCCGGTGAAAAAGCGGCGGAGGCGAGATGGGTCAGTGTTGGTACATTTTACTTACTCTTACTTTCGGAGGCGTAAAAAGTGCAGCCGCCGAACCAAAAGCGGCGATTTGCCTTGCCTTTAAACGCCTCTGGATGTCCGGTGACTTCCGCGTTGTGGTTGTCGTGTTAAATACTTGCCATCTTTGCTCGCGTGGCTTTCAGCAAGGGCAGCTCTGCTCAGTATTGTAAAGAGAAGAGGAAGCGTTGTTGGCAAAGCGCTTCGTATGGTTTCAGCAACTATGGCTGGAGCCGGGTCACCCGGTTGCCTGCCCGGGGAGGGGGGGGGGGGAAATCCGTCGCTGTCCACTCTCTTCAGTGCTGAAAAAAGTCAACCTTCGTTTACACCGGCTGCCTTCAACGCAACTCTCGTCAGCTTCTTAGTAAATGGGATTTACTAGCTTTCCAACGCTGTTTTAGACTGGATGCTCTAGTCACATCCCAGAGAAGTTGGCTAGCTTTTCTTCCTTCCTTCCTTGCTTCCTTCCTTCCTTCCTTCCTTCCTTCCTTCCTTCCTTCCTTCCTTTCTTTCTTTCTTTTCTTGGCTCCCCGTGAAAGGTATTGGGAGGGGGATCAAGTTCAATCCATAGATCTGTATGCAGAGGGGACTTGAGAGCCCCCAATTATTGTGTCGCTTTTGCTTGAAAAGGTCCCACCAACTACTGCCCCCTTATGGGTCACATTGTCTTTCTTGGGGGCCCGATTCTGCTTTCGATGGCACCTTTGCAACCTTCATCACTCAGAGCTTTGCCTTCGCCCAAACTCCTGCACTGCTGCTCCTTTCTTCTTTAGAAAACATCTCCATTTGTCCACTACCCTTTACAGCAACCCAGGATGCTGATGGAATCAGTTATTTCTTGGGGAGCGATTCCCTTAGATAATCTTGAATGAGTGGGTGGGATTCAAAGGGGGGAGAAAAATAAGGAAGTAAGTACTGAGCTTCAGACAAGCCCATTAGCTTCCTAATGATAAGCCACATTTCGATAAAGGTCCACAGTTTTCCTATCTTCTCCCCCCACCCCACCCCACCCCCACACCACCCGCAAGAGCCTGAAAAACAATATCCCAGCTTTTTTTAGTAAACCCTATGGTCTGAATTTAGCTTGGTTCCAAGGAAGCAAAGGCTGGTGGTTTATGGTAATCTATCTGTTAAGTAGATGGAAGGATAACAAAGAAAAGGTCACCGATCTAACTTGAAGGAGATCGTGTTTTTCTGAAACAAACATAATAGGAGCATGCTTATTTGGGGGGGGGGGGAAATCTCATTTGAAGTAACAAGATAATAAGCCTCCAGACATATTTGCTTAGGGCTGATGTCAAAACGTTCCCATTATTTCCACCAAACAATATTTCTGCCATTATTTGTAAAAACTATTCATTGGTTCAAAGGACCATTTTTCAGAGAAAGGACACTGCCTTCTTGATCTCCTCAGAAAACAAATTTATTTCCATTTTATGAAAGAAGAAAAAAAGTAAGTGCAACTGAGGTCCTTTGGTTATTCCTGTAGAGGGATCCTTCATGTGTGTGCTTACAACCGAACTCCTATTAAAACAAGATATGGGATTTGAATGTTCATTTCTTCATTCCTATATACGAGCAGTCTCCATTTCCATAACCAGAGAATGAGTTTCAGAAGTCACATCTCTGATTCCCTTTAAAACACACACACACACACACACACACACAAACAGAGAGAGAGAGAGAGAGAGAGAGAGAGAGAGAGAGAGAGCTGTAGGCAATAATAATATAAAAATATATAACTAAAGTAAAATAATAATAGGGGAGAGAAAAATAAGTGAGGACATTGGGCAAAGGATTGACGTCCCCCTTAAATGTTGGGGACCATTATTTTTGATACCCCCAAGATTTGTATACACATTCATGGCATGAACACCCACATTTTCTATCATTTACCTCCTACCTATTTTTCCCATACGCCAAGTGGCTATGGCACTCATTATTTTCCATCTTTAGATCTGAATGTGTTCCATGGGGTTCCTGAACTCAGATTTATCTCAGTGAAGGATATTCCAGGAACCCAAATATTTTCCTCTGTCAGGAATGAGCTTGGGGAAAGATTGGCGTTATTTATCTCTTTAATTCTAGGTTATTGTAAGGGATGAAAGATGCACAGTAACACCTGTCTTGCAAACTCATGTCTTCAGATCCTTGCCTCTTTGCAAACCTGCTTGGCCTCTCACCAGTTGTGAGAACTGAGTGCTGTCAAACACCAGTCACCAATAGTGTTGTGAGCATGTGGCTGCTTAGCAAGGATCTTTAGTGAGAACAGGGAAGTGGAGAGTTTCGTCAATGAAAAATAGCCTGTTCTGAATGTCTCCATTCTTCTCAGATGGCCCAATGGTGGAAGCCAGCAAGTTGCATCCCTCACTTGAAAGGTAGCCCCATTACAATAACTGCCACGAGTTTGCTACCAACTGAGAACTCTCAAAAACCACTGGCTTCAGCAGTAGATAAAGTATAGCTAGAAAACTTAAGGTAGACTGCATTTCCAAAAAGCTGAGTGCAGGACCTTTCTGGCAGGAAAAATATGTTGCATAAGATGTAATGAGAGGCAGTTGGATGAAGGAGCTTCATAGAATTTGAAGTAAGTGAGAGAGAAGGGAAGGGGGATGAAGGGAAAGGCAAGCAAACATAGGACAGAACAACCTTTAACAAAAAAAAATCAATATAAACAGTATATTTGTGACAGGCGGATAAACTTGCTTCTTCTTGTCTCTCTGGTTCATTTCTTAAATTTATTTTCTTTTTCTAATTTCAGATTTAAGTGTAAAGCTTTTCATTTGGCTTGTTTCATTGTATTGCAACATTACATTAACATTTTTAAATGTTATTCTGCTGGGCACAATCACCCACCCCCAAATCATTTGCCTCTGGGATAGGAATTATGGGCATTGTGTTCTAACATAGTGGGGGGGCATAAATTTGGAGAGGACAAGGCTAAGCTGGACTGGAAGCTGGGATTGTTCTATGGAATTATTTCAAAGGTGCTTTGCAAAAACTGTGAATAGCTTAAAGATGATTCCACATGGCCAGAGAGCAGATGCTACTTAGTGTTTAAGAGGCTGAAGGAGCAATCAGTCCCAGCAATTCTTACTGAGTTTTGTGTTTACCACGAGGCAGTTGGATGAAGGAACCATGATTCTGAATTCAGGATTCTGATTCTTCCTTTTCAGTCTTCAGCATCCAACCGTAGAGTATACTGTGGAGTGATTTAAAGGAATTGTTCTGATATTATGGCGGGGAAGATCTGCCTAAAATGCTTTGAGCCTTTGTTAAATGTGAAGATCATGATAATTGAATCAGTTAAGGGTGAGGATTTCAAAAGATTCTGAGTGACCAGATGTTGTGCTTTTTCAGGAACTCCTATTGCTGGACAGCTCCCCAGTGACCATCGAAGCTACTACTTACAGAAACCGTTTGCTTTTAAATGAAAGCTGATGAAGTATAAGGACTAATTTCTATTATAGCGCAAATCCAGGTATCTTTTCCATGTACGTGGGGTCTCTTTGCTGTTTTTTTTCTTTATCTGTCTGAATAGAAAATAGTTAGGAATAACATGCAAATGAACATTTAGGAATAAGGAGACCACCGTGCAGGGAGAGGGGATGTGATATGTGGCTTTTCTTTATAGAGTAAAATCTTTCTTTCATTCAATAATTCCACGATCAATTTTTTTCTTTCATTTCTATCTCTTCTTAGCTTTCAGTTGATGAAAAAGTTTCTAACCACACACACACACACACACACACACACACAAGTACATAATTAAAAAGATTATTTTTTGCCCTAATTATTTGGATCTCTCTCTTGTCAGCTGGTGTGAAAAGACAAAAGAAAGGATTGCAAAGATTCTATCATATTCACAAGTTGAGTGCCTTGAGTAATCCAGAATAATTTACCACCACTGGGTTCCATATTCAGATATCTTAGCAACCCTCCACCTTCGTGGGCACTTTAATCATGAGGCAGCAATTCAGTGGTAGGGGTATGGATGTTTCCCTGTCCATGAAAGGAAAGGCTGATGTTTCTTCATCTGAAGATGCAGGGTGATGGGTGGTGGAGGTGATTCCCATCTTATATGCTTCCAATCCTCAAACCAAATAATCTATCGTCATATGAGAATAAGAAGAAGCTGAGCAGAAGCTGGAGGTCTCCTAATCCATCAGTTCTTTCCATATGTTTCCATCTGGTCTACTGAAAGATACTTGGCTGAATTTGGTCAACCCAAAGTTCCCTCTCTGAATCTCCCAATGCATTGGAATAGGTGCTGGTCCTTCAGATGGATCTTTTCCATGCTCATCAACGTCAACATCCATTTAAATACTCAGGTTCAAGGGACCTGTGGTCTTTAGAAACATAGCTGGAATGGATATCTCTTTCTATGGCTGAATAGGGTTCAGTGAAATGAAAGGAAGGCAAGCATGTGCTATGAAAATATGAAATACAGAAACAGAAGTAAACTGGTATCTCCAGGAATTTTCTTTCATTTCACATTCTTAGCAACAGGAAGGTGTCCTTGATATTCAGGTGGCATTCACCAGGGATTAGGAAAGCCACTTCCAATTTCTCTTGAGCTTTATTTCAGATGGCAACATCGTTAGGGCATCACATAGATACAGATCATACAGATCTTGGCAAAACGTGTTCTCTCGAGCTAATACCAAAAACATCTGCACCTCGGAGACCAGTATGTTTAACATTACTAGTGTGGCCTACAGGAATTGAATGAGGATGGATGAGGATGGAAAGTGTACACAAGCACATGCCAGCTGAGAACCTGTGATTTTGTGCCACTGCATCTCTCTACAGTTTTTTTCCCCCCATCAACCGTCATCCAGATGCATTGAGACTGCAGCTCTCCCATTGACTGAAAGCTTTAAGAAGTTCAGGCCCACCACCTTGGAGAGCAAGGAAGTGGTGTGCAGAATCAAGGCAATTCTTTCCAGACTAGGTCATCCTTAAGAAGATGTAGGGAGATTGTGGAGGAACAGCCTGTCAATGTACCCTAAAACAAATGCTATGGCTGAATGCTCGAAAAGCATTCCCACGTTCTAATAAGGAATTTCCTGACAACAGCCAAGCTGGGCTTATTACGCTATGTCCAAGTTGTGGTGATCGCTCTTCCAGCCAAGATGTAGAACGTGCCCATATTAAATATGAAAAAGCTTAATTGGGATTTCAGATCCCAAAAGCAGTTCTTCCACTGTCTCCTTTCAGGAGGAAAAAAAGTAAGATTGGAGGCATCAAAAATCACACATAAGTATGAGGATGAAAATACAAGTATCCTTCATTCGAAGTTGACTTTTGGTAACTTCACGGAACTGCCCATGTTGTTCTTCTTGGTGGTAATGTGGAACCTTATTTTACAGTCTAGTTTACACTTCTGGGATCTCCTAGTGCTCTCCCATCTGACTCCTAATCAGATCCAATCCTGTTTCCTTTTCCAGAGCACTTAGCAGGGTCTTGTGAATGAGTGGCAGGTCAATTCCATTGATTTCACCACCAAGGCTTCCAATATTTGAGGGGCTGCCACAAGGAAGAGGGAGTCAACCTATTGTCCAAAACACCTGGACAAGAAGCAATGGATGGAAAGTAATCCAGGAGAGATGCAACCTGGAACTAGAGAGAAATTTCCTGACAGTGAGAACAATTTGCCAGTGGAACGACTTGCCTCCAGAAGTTGGAGGTGTTCCATAATTGGAGGACTTTTTAAAGAAGAGACTGAACAGCCACTTGTCTGGAATGATACAGGGTCTCCTGCTTGAGCACGGGGTTGGACTAGAAGACCTCCAAGGTCCCTTCCAACTCTGCTATTCTCTTAATATAAAGTTCAAATCATTTTTTGTAAAAAAGTAACATTCCTGTCTGTTACTTCCCTGTAAACCTGTGCAGAATAGGGCGTACATTTCCTGCTGATTTTTCTAACAGTATTAAGTCGTTCCCCCCTCATTTTCCTTGTACTAAAATCCATTAGCATTCTGGACTGGTCCACACGTGGGAGAGCGTTCATCTCCGGGGAGACTGCAACAAGAACAGATAAGCGCTGGTGCGAATGGGCTCCTCCTTGCCCACCGGAGAACAAAGCCATCCCATCCCCTTAACCGAAAAAGATTGTCCACGGACTCGTTTGCAGACAACAAAGGGTTTGAGTTCATCTAAGGACGATCGGGCGACATGTCTTGCTAGGTCAGTGTTTCTCAACCTTGACAATTTTAAGGCATGTGGACTTCAACTCCCAGAATTCCACAGCCAGCAATGCTGGCTGTGGAATTCTGGGAGTTGAAGTCCACATGCCTTAAAATTGTCAAGGTTGAGAAACACTGTGCTAGGTGAACGGACACGTGACTGGTGGAGAAAAAAAACGGCGGAATAGGAAAGTTTTTGATGGGTTTTTTTTCTCTGCGGTGGCCTGCAGAACCGTTTCCCAGCTCCTGATGTACACGGAATCCATAACTTTGTAGGCTTTCAAAAAGTCGGTTCTTTAAAAACAAAACAAAACAAAAAAAGTCTTAACTTCAGCGATCCCGTTTCAGGCCTGATCAATTTCACTTTTCGGCGCTGACCTTCCGCCCCTCTTCTGGGGAAGGTATCCCTTTCACTCTCTTTAAGAGGCAGTGAAAGTACATTTTACATCGCGGAGCGGGAGGGGGGGGGAAGAGCTGGAAGGAATCGATCTCGAAGTTAAAACGTAAACTCGTCTGAGAAGCTTTCTCCTGCCAAAAAATCTGGAAGGAGCGAGGTGATGCTTCAGTCCTAAAGCGACCCTGATTTCCACCACCACCGCCACCCCCCCCCGTTTCAATCAGAGCGGAGAGAGGGAGGGAGGGAGAAAAGTGGGGTGGGAGAGAGAGAGAGAGGGAGGGAGAGAGAGAGAGAGAGTAGAAGGACAGGAAGGAGGCGGGAGGGGGGGGGAGAGGGAGAGGAAGAGGGAAGAGGGAGGGAGGGATAGAGAGAGAGAGAGGAAGGAGGGAGGAGGAGGGGAGAGGGAAAGGGAGAGGGAGATGGAGGGAGGGGGGAGAGAGAGAGGACAGGGAGGAGGGAGGGAGGGGAGAGGGAGAGAGAGAGAAGAGAAGGACGGGAGAGTGGAGGAGGGGAGAGGGAGAGAGAGAGAGAAGGACAGGTAGGAGGGAGGGGAGGAGGGGAGGAGGGAGAGGGAGGGAGGGGAGGAGAGGGAGGGAGGGGAGGGGAGAGAGAGAGAGAAGCGGATACATGGAGGAGGGGAGGAGTAGAGAGGAGAGGAAGGGGAGGGAGAGGAGAGGGGAGAGGAGAGAGAAGAGAAGGAGAGGGAGAGGAAGAGGGAGAGGGGAGGGGAGAGAGGAGAGGGGGAAGAGGGAGAGAGAGAGAGGAGACAGGAGGAGGAGGGAGGGGAGGGAGAGGGAGGGGGGAGAGGGGGAGAGAGAGAGAGAAGGACGGGAGGTGGGAGGGAGGGGAGAGGGGACGAAGGGCAGGGAGGGAGGGAGGAGAGAGACAGGGAGGAGGGGAGGGAGGGAGAGAGAGAGAGAAGGATAGGGACTGTAGGAGGAGGAGGGGAGGAGGCGAGGCAGAGGGAGAGGAGGGACTGGGGAGAGAAGAGAGGAAGGGAGGAGGGAGGAGGGGGAGAGGGAGAGAGAGAGAGGAAGGGAGAGGGAGGGAGGGGGGATAGAGAGAGAGGAGAGAGGGAGCAGGGGGGAGGGGGGAGGGAGAAGAGGAGGAGGGAGAGGGAGAGAGAGAGAAGGACAGGGAGGAGGGAGGAGGGGAGAGGGAAGACGAGAGAGATTGGAGGACAGGAGTAGGAGAGGAGGTGAGAGGGCGAGGAAGAGGGAGATGGAGGGAGGGGATAGAGGGAGAGTGGAATGACCGTTGAGGAGGGGAGATAAGAGGAGGGAGGGAGGGGAGAGAGAGAGAGAGAGAATGACAGGGAGGAGGGGAGAGAGAGATTGAGAGAGAGAAGGACAGGGAGGAGGGAGGGAGGGGAGAGGGAGAGAGAGAGAAGGACAGGGAGGAGGGGAGAGAGAGATTGAGAGAGAGAAGGACAGGGAGGAGGGAGGGAGGGGAGAGGGAGAGAGAGAGAAGGACAGGGAGGAGGGGAGAGAGAGATTGAGAGAGAGAAGGACAGGGAGGGAGGGGAGAGGGAGAGAGAGAGAAGGACAGGGAGGAGGGGAGAGAGAGATTGAGAGAGAGAAGGACAGGGAGGGAGGGGAGAGGGAGAGAGAGAGAGAGGACAGGGAGGAGGGAGGGAGGGAGGGGAGAGGGAGAGGGAGAGGGAGGGAGGGGAAAGAGAGTGAGAGACGGGCGAAATAGTTGCCTTGTCATGTAACGCATTGTGCTGATTTATGATAAAATTTTAACGAAAGCATGCATATTTTAACAGCCTTTAATCACCGCATGAAAATTTAATTCATGAACTGCAGCACGTTTAAATAAAATGGAGCATTAATTCATTAGGGCTAATTAATTTGTTAAAGGATTTTTGGGTGGGGCGTGTGCGTGTGCGTGGGAGGGGAGGCAAGGTTAAGGTAGAAAGAAAATCTTTATGTTGGTTTCCTGGCTTAATCCCCCAGGTTCCCTTCCCGGTAAATACATATACAGTAAAGTCTGGCTGTTTGGTAGTGAAACTAAAAAAAAAAAAAAAAGGAAAGAAAAGAAAAGTGAACGTGATAACAGCAGGGGACCTCTCGGAAAAGAACTCAAATGCAACTTCGGTTCCAGCCTTCTGGATCAGTTCCGCTTTGATCTTGCTCCTCTCTTTCTCGCCTCCTCGGTCCTCGCCAGCCTCATGCACAGGTATATTTGCCACACCTTCATAGAACATAGAAAAATTGTAAGGGACTTTGGAGATCTTCTAGACCTGCCTTCTACTTGAAGAGACCATTCCAGACCGGTTGTCCAATCTCTTTTTTCATAAGCCGGCAATAATAATAATAATAATAATAATAATAATAATAATAATAATAATAATAATAATGTTGGAAGGGACCTTGGAGGTCATCTAGTCCAACCCCTGCTCAGGCAGGAAACCCTATACCATTTCAGACAAATGGCTGTCCAGTCTCTTCTTAAAAACTTCCAGTGTTGGAGCATTCACAGCTTCTGGAGGCAAATTGTCCCACTGGTTAATTGTTCTGTCAGGAAGTTTCTCCTTAGTTCTAGGTTGCTTCTCTCCTTGGTTAGTTTCCACCCGTTGCTTCTTGTCTTGCCCTCAGGCGCCTTGGAAAATAACTTGACTCCCTCTTCTTTGTGGCAACGATTGGTATTTGGAAATATCCATTTTGAGAGAATATTAACTTTTTATTCCATACAGTTCATCTGAGACTGATCAGATCTGCTCCCTCCGGCTTGCAGTTAATCGGATGCTTTCAAAATGACTCTTTACAAATAATTTTTAGTATCCAATTTGAAGTAATGTTAGGACCGCAAAGTGTTGACAGGGTTGCACGGTGGCTCTTCCTGATTTAAGCAACCCTTTGAGATTGTAGGAAAGGGACACAGCAAGGAAATTTATGAGTTTTGACTACTGCAAGCAACTGCCTTGTTTAAAGAGCAGGCATACACGTATGTGTGACTGCTCAGAATTATATCCATTGGAATTCAGTGACATGCACGTATGTTAGAGCAGACTTACATCTTAAATCTCTCGCTTAAGTATAGGATGGGAGCAGTTGGCAAAGGGGTATTTGGTGGTGGTGGAGAAACCATTGCTTATAAAATCTATTTCTTTGTTTGCACAGGTCTTTCTGGAACAAATGTAAACCATTTGCAAAGCTGACCTCTGAAGGATTTCCCTGAATAATCCCGGAATAGTTTTGATAATGGAGTTGCACTGTGATAACACTCGTGTCTCTTCCCAAGGAACCTGGGAAGAATGAAAAACGATTGGTAACCAAATTCTTCAAAATCTGCTCAAACTTACCTACTACCCCCCCAAAAAAATTGAAGGGGGAGTGAGGACCTGACAAAGTGACAGAAACTCGGCACAAATGTATGGAGGCATTGCACTCTGAAATTTTTACAAACCTTTTACTGAACAACACTTCTCTGGTTCCTGCAGTGTTTCTCAACCTTGACAATTTTAAGGCATGTGGACTTCAACTCCCAGAATTCCACAGCCAGCATTGCTGGCTGTGGAATTCTGGGAGTTGAAATCCATATGCCTTAAAATTGTCAAGGTTGAGAAACACTGAGGCATGCTTAAGAAACTGGATTGCAGGATATTTTAATTCGTACTGTGGATATTCTTAAGAGCTATTCCTGGAAATGCTTTCAGATATTGAAGGTAGCTTTGTTTGCTCACTGGTGAAAAAATCCAAGGACCCAAACACGTTTCCAGATAAAATGTTACTGAGGTTTTGAGTTCTTTGGATTTTTTTTTTTTAAGAGGGGTAAAGAATGGCAGAGGAGTGTATTATTTGGGATGATTACTTCAGTAAACCAGATTATAAAGATTGCATTTTGTTACTTGCTGCAGATGGGAGAAAAAACAAACAAACACCTGATCTATGATTGTTATTTTGATGTACTTCAAACTGCATACTTTCCCATATCTTACAAGGACTTCAATATTTTGTAATGGTTGTTGCTGCTGAGCTGTAATCTATGGATGAAACAAATAAATATTGATTGGCTGAATTCTGGCTCATGTGTTATTGTTCCCAGCAATAGTAGATGACAGATGGATGTACATAAGGCAATTGGACACCTAATGTGTTTTCAAAAAAAAAAAAAAAAACCCTTTCAAAGTCATTGCTATGTATGCCAGATCACTCAGGGGAAAAAAAAAAAGGTCAAAAAAAGAGAATCTAACTCAACACTCTTGTTGATGCAGCCTACATCTGACAATTTTTCAGTTCTATATCACCAGAAAATGTGGTTCTGGATTTTTTTGTTGGGAGTGGAATTTGGATTTAACAATGCATTTCCGAAGTTCACTCAGAATTAATTCATATGGAAGGCCCTCTATGAATTCTCTTTGCAAAACTATTCTCAGTTCAGTTCTCAGTATTTTAGTTAACATTAAAAAAAAAAAAAAACCCGAAAGACAACCAACTGGAGAAGACATTTTGGAGAAATGCTGTTTGTTGATATAACAAACAAGCTTTTTACTTTTATATGATATCATATAAAAGTAAAAAGCTGGGGTTCCCTGTTATTACCTTATTCTACGACATCAAAAGGAATTAGAAGCCAATGCTTTTGTTTTCTTTTCCACCTTTACCCTACACTTTTCTTTTTCCCCCTTTTCCCTCCCTTATTTCACCCTTATTCTCATTTAGTTTTTTGTATCTCTGTATTTTATATTTTCATAAAGTAATAAATTTTTTAAAGCATTAATACCACCAGCTTCAGACTGGAAGCAGCCATTTGAAGTCAGAAAATGGCGGCCTTTGATATTTTCCTTCATGATAGAGGCGTCCTTGATGCTCCCTGATCTAGGTTGTTTTCTTGCAGGCATTTCATTACCCAAACTAGGTAAAATCCTCAGTGTTTACCTGTAAGATTATCATAACGGCCAGACATGATGGGACTTACGATTCAGCAACACGTGGAGAGTTCCAGGTTCCTCATATGTGGAAAACAAATAAATTTGCCACTAATATCTGTGTGATATACAAATAGTTCTTCATTTAGTGGCTATTCAACGGCACTGAAAAAAGTGATTTATGACCATTTTTCACACTTATGCTAGCATTGCAGCATTCCCATTTTCCAAGATGGTGGCATCTTGTTTGGCTGCAACTGGCTTTTGTATACATTCGAACTAGACAGTGATGTTTCTCTGTGTCATATTATGTGTCGGTATGTGGGTATATGCATAATGGGTTTGGGGTTGTTTTTTGGGAGAGCTGAAGGCAACACAGTTTCATTTTAACGTATGCTGATTAGCAAACATTTAAAGCGAGTCCCTTGGACTGCAAGGCGTTCAAACCGGTCAGTCCTAGAAGAGATCAACCCTGACTGCTCTTTAGAAGGCCAGATCCTGAAGTTGAAACTCAAATACTTTGGCCACCTAATGAGAAGGAAGGACTCACTGGAGAAGGGCCTAATGCTGGGAAAGATTGAGGGCAATAGAAGAAGGGGACGACAGAGAATGAGATGGCTGGATGGAGTCACTGAAGCAGTAGGTGTGAACTTAAATGGACTCCAGAAGATGGTAGAGGACAGGAAGACTTGGAGGAACGTTGTCCATGGGGTCGCGATGGGTCAGACACGACTTCGCAATTAACAACAACAACAACAACAAAGTGACAATGAAGTTTGTATTCTGTACTTCTATGGTCGTGTGATCAAAATTCAGATGTTTGGTAACTGATTCATATTCATGGAGGCTACTGTGTTCTGGGGTCCTGTGGACATGTTTTTGCCCAAAAAAATTTATAATATTTTATTATTTTTTTTATTTTTACAAATCATAAGTGCTTAGTAAGCAACGTATTGTCTGGGTCTATTTTTTACTTAAATAATACAGATTAAATTCCTAATCTCTACCCCTTTTTTTCCACCCAATGATAAACTAATCCCATATTTGAAGTTATTCTATATCTTCTTTCCTTTGTTTTCTTGATCATCTCTTCTCCAGGTAGTATTTCTTCATTTTTCCAATGCTAAGCAAATACAATTCTTACTGCTGTTAATACATACAATATTAAGTATATACTTTCTCATCTTATTTTTTCTAATATTGTACCTAGTGAAAAACTGGTAGGGAAGAAATCTGGATCACGTTTTTCCAATCTTCTGACCAGCAGTCAATGGGAGAAGCCAGATTCACTTAACAACCAGGTGTATAACTTAACAACTGCAGTGAATCATTTTCTCCAAATATTCTCTAAAGCACCTGAAGGCAGGACAAGAAGCAACGGATGGAAACTAATCAAGGAGAGAAGCAACCTAGAACTAAGGAGAAACTTCCTGACAGTTAGAATAATTAACCAGTGGAACAACCTGCCCCCAGAAGCAGTAAATGCTCCAACACTGGAAGTTTTTAAGAAGAAACTGGACAGTCATTTGTCCAAAATGGTGTAGGGTTTCCTGCCTGAGCAGGGGGTTGGACTAGATAACTCCAAGGTCCCTTCCAACTTTATTATTATTATTATTATTATTATTATTATTATTATTGATCATTGCACAGTCAGTCAGATGTTCAGACTGGATTTGGCATTTTGTCTACCTATCGAGTCCTTACCCAGAACCTGGGAAAGGCAGATGTGGATGTTTGATGGTATTACAGATATCGTCGCAGGATGGAAGCAGTTCCTAGTAAGGCTGCCTTTTGCAATTGACTAATAGCAAATTTGTCAATGCCAATGATGTTCAAGTGGTGCTCCAGCTGTTTTGGGATTGCACCCAAGGAGCCTATTACTATTGGTACTACCCTTGTTTGCTTTTGCCACAGTCTTTCTATTTCTATTTGTAGGTCTTTGTATTTTGTTATCTTCTCCAGTTCTTTCTCGTCTATTCTGCTGTCTCCAGGCACTGCCACATCCACTATCCAGACTTTTTTGTCTTTCTTATCGACAATTGTTTAAGTCTGGAGTGTTATGTTGCAGGTGCTTGTCTGTTTGAATTCTGAAGTCCCAGAGCAGTTTAATTTTATCATTTTCTATGACTTTTTCTATTTTATGATCCCACCAGTTTTTGCTTACAGGCAAATGATATTATTTGTTGTTGTTGTTGTTGTTGTTGTTGTTGTTGTTGTTGTTATTATTTAACAATTGTGTCAAGAAAACGCATACAATGGGGCAAAACTCAACAACTATCTCATTTAGCAACAGAAGTTTCAGGCTCAGCTCTGATTGTTAAGTCAAGGACTGCCTGTATTTTAGTAGCAAACCTTTTTGTTCTGGAAAATGAAAATTGGGCAAGAGTTGAACATTTAAGGACATTGTCTTGAAATGTGCAAAGGGAGCTCATGCTGCAACCTTTTGTAACTTGTTTTTTAAGGGTAAGTGGAGAATAATTCTAAACGTGAAATCATCTTAAATGCTGTTTCAATGGAATAAGAAAATTAGATGGTGGTTGTTGAAGACCATTTTAAATTTTTTTCTTGTCTTGGGCATTTTGAATTACGCAACATCGGTATGTCTAAACAAAATGGATAAGAGGTGGGAAAAGTACGCCAGTGCTACAAAGAAATAAAACAGTTTAAAAAAAAAAATCTGAAGCGTTTCTGCCACGGCTACTAAATCTTTGTGTAAGGATCGGCTAAATATTAGGCACTTTTGAGATCGTAAATTCATTCATTATTTAATTTTCCTTGGCCAGAGGGCTACCGCTTCATGCTTTAGTCATGTGCTGGAACTCCCATTCGAAGAAATGCATAGAGTCAAGGGAAAGAAGGATGGGGCCAGGACAAAAAGCTAAGTTTGATTTAACACTTGAGAACCTTTTTTCTGCTCTAGACAATGGTTAACATGCAGTATTGCAGGCAAACTCTGCCCGCAGACTAGAGTTTGATCCTGACAGGCTTAAGGTCGACTCAGCCTTCCATCCTTCTGAGGTCAGTAAAATGAGGAGCCTGATTGTTTATATGGTGACACTGTAAACAGCTCAGAGAGTGCTGCAAAGCGTTATTAGGGTGTATATAAGTCTAAGTGCTGTTGCTATTATTGTCCTGTCCTGGATGTCAAAACACATCATACCAAGGATGGACAAAGGAGTTTTGTCCGTCAAACAGGAACCATTCAAGCTTTGTTGCAGGCAGGACCTCTGATACTATACATGTCAAAGACCCTCTGCACTCTAGAGCAGGGGTGAGCAATTATGGCTTTCTACTCCCAGAATTCTGGGAGTTATAAAGGGACACAGTTGCAGTCCGTAGCTATGAGGTCTGCAGGATGATCCCTTGCTTCCTGATCGTCTGGGACTCTCACTTCTGTAGTATTTGTTTACATGTAAAAATCACATAACTAGGCCCACAGAGTCTTTCCCAAGCAGGCATTCAAAACATATTATGAGCCACATTGTTTGAAATGGAAAGAAAGTCCATACCTGTGTTTTCCTGAAAATAAGACCAGGTCATATATTAATTTTTGCTCCAAAAGACATATTAGGGCTTATTTTCTGGTTAGGTCTTATATTCAG